AAGCCAGCCAATATGGTGCCTCAAGTAGCATGGACGAGTGCCAAAGGGGAACTACATTTCCCAGCATGCAACGCCGAGCAGGGCAGCGTTTCACGCGTTACATGCTGGGAAATGTAGTTCCCGCTTCACTGAGGCGCCCGCTTTGCCGCCACATCTCCGCCTGCCTCCACCTTCCCTGCGCCTGATGGGACCTGTTAAAACGGGGAAAGATGAGGAAAAAAGGGCATAAACTCATCAGGTAACTGGACCTCCGTGTGGCGAGGGACCCTTCCCACTTCATTCTCCTCAAACGAGATCTTTGTGAGAACAATAAACGAGCAGCATCACCAGGGAAACGGCGGCTGCTTTCATGAGGTGCTTAGTGAGCGACAGCATGAAAATATGAAGCTGGCGCCGAGACAGGGCTCATGAAGCGATGGCACTTGCGATACTGGAGTGGGAGAGCAGAGACCTGAATGCACCGTGTGCTTACATCAGCATGCGGGGTGCTGCAGAAAGCAGGCCCAACTGGGCTGCTCCAAATAACCTCTACAAGAGCTCGCTCGCGTCCTCTACCTGCAAGAGACTGTGATATTTACCCAGACACTGCTATTTGCCTTAAAAATGGACACATGCCCAGCTTCTCAGAGGACCTGTTGCCCCACCTTGCCTTCTCCCTGCCCTGTCCCCTGCCTGCAGTCACAGAGCAGGACAGAGGCAGCAATCATCATGCTGTGGAAAGGAGGGGACCCCTTGCGTGGGTCAGCCCTCAGGTCTGACAGGCTGTGGACACTGCAGGTGCAGGGGGAGCAGTCCCAGCTCCAGAACTCATGGACCCATTTTACAGGTGGAGAAACAGGGTGATACAGTGAGGCGCTCGGGACACGAAGCATGGCTCCAGGAGGTCAGGCATCTTCTTACGTAAGGGTTTGCAGATCTCTGCTGTCCAGCCGAGTCCCTGGTGGATGCACTCTGCCAGATATCCCTGTGGGCGTTTCAGAGATTGCTGTCTGCAGGGCTGGATCACACTGGGTCCAGTGTTCTCAGCATGACGCAGATGCATAAAAGCCTGGTCAGGAGATCCCACACCTTCAGGGGACAACCCACGTCCCTCTGCCTTGCCACCCATCAGATTCACACAATGCTCCTGGTTCCTGGATTAGACAACAACCACCCAGGATCTCACAGACCCCCATCACATGCCTGTCACTATTCCAGCCTGGAGAGGCTCAAGCTGTGCCCTCACTCCAGCTATCCAGTCCCCTCCCTGAACATTTTCCTTTCAAGCAACAGTTTTTACAGTTTTATATGAGCCATTACCACCACTATTAGCACCCCCCTGGCTCTACCCCGAGTTCCTGGGTCTGGGGTGGCTGTATCCCCATGCTGCCTACAACACAGCACACCACACCAAGCCAAAGCAAGCCATGTAGCGCTGCCAAAGACCAGCATGGGCAATCAAAGCATCTTCCCCGCTTCTCTCCTGCTTATTTGTGTGTTTCCTCAGTGCCTGCAGGGACAGGTGGGACACCCTCACTGTGAGATCTGGCCAGGATACCAGCATGCAGACACCCCCAGGCAGGGACAACACATCTTTAATGCTCCAAAGGACTTGGCAGGAGGAAATGCAGCAATGTGCAGAGGGGATCCAGCCCAGGCAGAGCTCCAGTGACTTTGCAATGCGATGCTGCATCATTCCCACACCTCTTGCCTGCTCAGCTAGCCAAGGGCACGGGCAGGGGACCGGGAGGCATCCATCCCTGTCAGGCACACAGCTGGATGTAGGTTTCTTGTGACCAGAGCCAAAAGTATGGGAAGATCTTCTCGGTGAAGGAGGCCTTAAACTGCAAGATCTGCATCATGTTCTCCGCATTGTAGAAGGTCACTTGGCCTGCTTCGTAGTCCAAGTGGACCCTGATTCGCCGGGGCTGTTCCTTCAGTGTCAGCAGGGCGGGGGGAATGTGGAGCGCTGTGTACTGGCGATCCCAGTCCAGGCGCAGGGCCCAGATCTTCCCCATGGCCATGCTCAGCGAGTCCTTCCTCCGCACGGACTCCGCGGCCACCCCCACGGCCCAGCTGTCCCCGTCCCCTACCTCCAGCTCCCAGTAATGCCTCCCAGCCGTGAACCCCTGGGAGCCCAGGACGCTGGGGCTGCCCATGAATCTCTTGGGGGTGTCGGGGAGGTTTTGCTGTCCATCTCCCAGCCGCACAGTTTTACGGTCCTTTGAGAGGATCAGGTATGGGCTTGCTGTCTCTGGGTCCAGCATCACCTTCACTAATGCACAATAGAGAGAAACATCAGCTCATGGCCCACTAAGGAGTGAACCAGCACCTCTGCCTCCTCTTCCGTGGGGCTGGGACATGTCCTATGAGCACAGCAGGTACTCGTTCCCCACCAGCGTACACACGCAGCACCTGCAGCCCCCTTGAGCAGCACGGGACACAGGGCCCTTGCTGCCCTCCCCACTGGGACCCATGGGCAAAGGAACAGTCCCTGAAGCAGGACTGAGCTAGGCAGCGTCCCCACACGCAGGGGACAGCTGTGATAGACTTTGCTAAACCTGCTTTGCTAATCCTGTGCCAGATATTGCTGGGTCTAAGTGTGATAGGGCTGCAGCCAGGCTGGGTGTGGGGCAGCAATATATCCCCAGCGTGGGAGGAAGCATTGCCTGCAAGGCAGCAGTGGTGCCAGGCCAGTCCCCGCTCCAGTGACAAGGGTGACAAGCACTCACCAAAGGGAAAACGAGCTCCTAACTTGGCTCTGCCAAATCTCACTGCAGAGCCAGAGCCACCCGTTCATGTGGGATGTTCTGCTGCCATCCCGTGGCCATCCCACAAGGCCACAGAGGTGTCCCACGCAGTGCCACCACCCCAGGCCCTCTGCTAAACCCACTACTCTCCAGCCTGGCTCACAGAGGGGACCACAGCATGGGGGAAACCGAGGCACACCCATCCAGCACGTCAGGTCCCTCTTCCCGAAAACTTAAGAGAGCAGAGACCGGCACAAACAGCTCCAGCCAGCCCCAAGCCCTGCGATGCTACCAGGATTGTGTGGACTCCAGGCACCTGCAAAGGCATTTCTGATCTGTGCCTAAAAGCCAGCTCAAAATGTGTACGGCTCCTTTACTTAACTAGTCACAGTCTTACACATCACAGCAAAAGACAATAAAGTCTCCAGAGACAGGGAAGCCGAGGGCTTCGCGCTGCCCTGGCCCTCGTTTTGTGTTAGAGGACAGTGTCACTGGGTGGTGCCTGGCATGGGGACAGACCTGGATTTTTACAGCAGGCGTAGTCAAAACAAAGGGACCCAGTTTTAGACAGACACTGGATTTAGATGTTGTGGTGTGAACACGTCTCTGCCCCAAAGACATACGGAAACTCATTCTGGAAAGCTTTTCTCCCTCATTTGTGCCCACCAGCTCCAGAAACTTACCCCTTTCTCTGTCGATCTCGCTCAGCAGGTTCACTAGGGAAGGAAAGGAAGACACATGAGTCTCTCTCCTCTCGTGGCATCTTTCCTGCTCCCCATCAGGACAGCAAGCCAGACGTGGAGCCTGCTCCCCAGCTCCCACTGCTCCAGGCTCCAGCAGAGCCCATCCAAGAGCCAGGTCCTGTCTGGAGCAGGCATGTTTTGCCCCCAAGCCCTGGGCAGAGGCACCAGGCAGTGAGGATCTCCCGCTGCAGCCAGGCCAAGGGGAAGCACAGCACGGCGACAGCAGCATGCCCGCGTGGGGCCCGGACACCGGCTACACAGCAAGGCATCACTCACCACTTCTTTGCTTTACCTTTGATTTTGGCCACTGCACCCACGACCAGCTGGCTCATCTCAGAGAGACTCCTAACAGTCCTCTGCAGCTCCGGGGAAACCGGCTCCGGGATCGGGGCCTTTGCCGCCTCACAGCTGAGGAGGAAACAACACAACACGGAGAGGAGCTCTGACCCCTGCGGTAAGCCAGCACCCAGGGCCAGGAGGGAAACGGGGGGAAAATCCCCTACAACAACAAGAACTCAAGGGAGCTGTGTCCCAGTTATGGGCATGGGAACCCTGTCTTTAACAGGGGTGCAACAACCTCTGGCTCCAGATAACATCACATTAAATCCCAAATACTCAGCAGGGCAAAGCCACCTCCCCGCAGCTGCTGCTGCACGGATGCCTACAGCGTTTCCAAACCTCTGCCCAAAAGAGCTGCGCCGGAGGAAAGCGATGCTGAGCCTGTTTCGTACCTGCTCAGGGTTTTGCCAACATCCTGGAAGAGAGAAAACACCAGGTCAGCTCTGGCCCTGCCGAGAAGGACCATGGTCCCCGGGGCAGAGTTACAGTCGCTCTCCTGCTGCATGAAGCAGGGTCACACCACTCTCCTGGGGACTCTCCAGTGACTTGCTCACCCAAATCTTTGCCTTCCCTCAGCTCACACTGCAGGCCCAGACTCACACCAGCCACACCACACCCCACGGTGTCACAGCCTGGCCGCAGGCACGCTGGCCAGCACCGTGTTGCCCTTCGCTCCCAGGCACTGGGCTGCACGGGCACTGAGATGCAGAGGGTGCCAGGGGGATGCTCCCAGCCTCACCATAAGGAATTCAACCATCGGCTGGTCACGCTTCTTCTCTATCTCCGCAATCAGAGTGTCCAGCAGTGATTTCCTCTCTGAAACACTGGAGACATATTTGCGGCGCTCCTTGGTGAGCTGCCCGTGTGCCCCGTCAAGCTGGGCCAGCAGGATGCCCTCCTGCTCCCGCAGGAACTTCTGCAGCTGCTCAAAGGCGTCCCGCAGCCTCTGCCGCTCCGAGGCCACCTTCCCCTGCAAGGCACCCGCACGGAGGCCCCTGAGCCATCCCATCCTCCGTCCGCCTCCACGTGGGCATGGGCACCCGGTGCTGCGAAGAGGGGGGCAAGGATCGTGGGGAAAAGCTGGAAGAGTGGAGTGGGAAGAGGGGTGGCATGTCTGGATGTTGATTGACCCAAGATGACAGGGGAGCCTGAATGAGAGCAGGATGGAAGCAGGATACATGGGATGGACAGAGGAGGAGAGAGAAAATAGCATTGTTACGGAAAAGAAGATAAATATACCTGAGGAAAGGGAAAGACAGGATGCTACCATGAAGATGGATGGGTAAGCAGGCAGGAGGGCACAGCATGCACACGGAGAGAGAACCACGTACCAGCAGGCCATCACTTTTCTTTTCTCCTTGGGGCTTAAATTCTTCTTTCTGTTTTTGTAGAAAAACCAGGTTGTTTTGGAGTGTCTCCTGGAGAGAGGGGGAAAAAAAAAAAGCTTATTTGGTGATTTTAGGGTTACATTAATGAGATGGTATCACCAAACAGCCCCTGTGGGGACAACAGTGCTCTGCAGGGTCACTTTTCACCTCAGCTCTGTGGAAGGGGAAGAGCTTGGAGACAGCATCCACCTCTCTCCAAGCACCCGTTACAGACAGGCTGGGGAGATCCCCGTGAGCAGCTGCTTTGGCCAGAAACATTTCTGGAATAGCTTCATGTGGAAAGCCTGAAGTTTGTGGTTAGTTGGGTTTTTTTGTGTGTGGTTTTTTTTTAATTAGGAAAAACAACTTTTGGTGTTGGAAGTGGGATTTGTGGCAAGAGGTTTGCAGTGACAGCAGCACTGTGTCTCAGACACACTCCATAAATCCACTGCAGTATTAAAAAAATCCAACCCTGGTGCTCCTCCAAGCCATGCCCTGCGGCAGAGCCAGCTGCTGGGGGGGGGACCCCCAGCCCACATGTGGGGGGCAGAGACCGTGTCCCCTGTAGCTGCAGCCCCAGCCCCAGCCCTGGCTGGGGACGTATGGGGCTCTGGGGGTGAGCAACGAGAGGCACCTGTGCTCCTGGAGGGGCTGG